AGTGGCAGAATCGTAGCGACACGGCGACATTATCCTAGAACTTTATTTGAAAAGTAAAAAAAAATTAGTTTACAGAAATTTACACGTAATATTTGAACCATGCATTTAGATAATCAACTTTTGAATAGCTTTATTTACGCCGATAGTATCGCAAAACAATATAATGTTTTGATTGTATTTTCGGCAGTTATTGATATTGATTTTTCACGTGGTTTTTAAATATCTCGATATATTTCAAATAACATGGAAAATTCGAATCGTGCATTTCAGTATTTACTTTTTAAGGCAATGATTCTACCTAATTTTTGGCAGCTATTGATTTCTCAACAGTTTTTAAATTCGATATTTTTTATACAATATTACAATTATTTATTATGCATTTGAGTAACCCTTTTTTGAGGAGTCCAATTCGCGTGATTTCGTCATCGATCTTTTTTTTTTTCCGCTAACGGATTACATGATTTTTAATTATTTTTTTATTGTGATGGTTACCTACAAAATGCGTAGGAAATAATTTGTTCGTTACCCCTCCCCCCACATAAAATGCGAGGATATCACCGATATTAGAATAAAAAGTTATTACAAGTTCAATTAAAAAAAATTATGGTATTTTTCTTTTGTTATTTTAAATTATTAACATGTATGTCTGTAATTATTAAAAGTATCTTGCAGAAAGATATTATTGATAAACAGTTTTGTCGCAGATAGCTTGAAAAAATTCTGCCCCAGGGTTTGTTGATTGCTTAATTGTATTTATTGACTTGAATCTTTAAATATCGAAGAATAAATAAATGACATAATGTTAATTGTGTCATCTATTTATTTTTCGATATTTCGTAATTGAAATAATATTTTAAACCGTTTGATTAGTTGTATTATAGTTTTTAAAAAGTGATTGGCTCTATCAGAAAATATGTTAATTGCAGTAACTTGATATCTTTTAGAAAGCGAAAAATATTATGCTTATTTAAGAAATCAGAAACGTGTTGTTCCAGCAAAAATCTTATTTTCCACTTTAAAGATTGCCTAGTAGATAATGAACATTATCCAGATATTTTGATATTCCAGATAATTATATAGATATTTTGCAGGTAATTTGAATTTTTGAACCATGTTAACGAATAGCACTGACGAATGCACTAGAATTTTTGCAGATTTTTCCTAGGCAATTTTAGGAATGAAACATTGAATGCGGTAATTTTAGGAAAGAATGCAGTTAACGGATCAACCTGCTAGATAATCTGCAAATTAACTGATTTCTACACTTTAGCGATGGTGCGCAGCTAAATTATTGAACAAAAAATAAGCACCTTTTAAGCACTCTAAAAAAATATCATATTTAGGCAGGTTTGGAAAGTTTTTGATAATCGACGGTTTTATCTTGTCTTAACCGCCATGTTAAAAAAAAAAAAAAAAAAAAAAAAAAAAAAAAAAAAAAAAAAAATTTGTTGTTCTTTGTTTGTTTTGATTGTTTTTGACAATTTTATTTTATTTTATAACCGTCGTTGAACAGCCGACCCAATTTCATGGGTTTACGACTACTTAAGTTCAACTCCGTAGCCTTGTAATTNCAAAATTTGGGAGCCACGTAAGAGAATTATATATATTAGATCAGAAACACATCATTAAAAGGCAGAATGCATTGGTGTTTTCAAAACAAAGCAAACGTTGCCACCGGCGGAAAAGAAATACAGCCAAAATTTGGCAGCCACGTAAGAGAATTATATATAATAGATTTTGCAGGTAATTTGAATTTTTGAACCATGTTAACGAATAGCACTGACGAATGCACTAGGATTTTTGCAGATTTTTCCTAGGCAATTTTAGGAAAGAAACATTGAATGCGGTAATTTTAGGAATGAATGCAGTTAACGGATCAACCTGCTAGATAATTTGCAAATTAACTGATTTCTACACTTTAGCGATGGTGCGTAGCCAAATTATTGAACAAAAAATAAGCACCTTTTAAGCATTTTAAAAAATATCATAATTAGGCAGGGTTGGAAAGTTTTTGATAATCGACGGTTTTATCTTGTTTTAACCGACATGTCAAAAAGAAAAAAAAAAAAAGAAAAAAATTTGTTGTTTTTTATTTGTTTTGATTGTTTTTGACAATTGTCAAAAATCATGAAATTTTGAATCATTACAATTGTCAAAAATCATGAAATATTGAATCATGTAAAACGAATGGCGTTTTTATACGCTACGGACTAGAACAATGTGAACTGTGTCTTTTTGCATAATTCGAAGCGAAAATTTAAATGTGAAAAAGGGAAAATTAAAACACTCTTCAAAAACACCCAATGAAAAAAAAACACCTTTAAGGGCTTTTAAAAAAAACGAAAATCGAAAATAAGCACCTTTAAGCACTTTTTAAAAACGCTACGCATCTTGGATAACTTGAAGCCTTTCACGATCGTAATCGCTACCTTCATGGCCCTCGGTATCCTATCCTATAAAATATATCGATGTCCTGTCCTTCTATCTTTAACGGCCTAAGATCATCTCACTCTGGTACTCTTTAACCTCTTTATTACCTCGACTTATTGGTTTCTTAAAACACCACCATAAAAAAAAATTATAGTTTTACCCTCATTAAAATATTTATGGACATTTAAGCTTTCTGGGAATTCCGCAATCAATGCAGAACATGCAAGTTATTTGGGTAGAATTCCACATAAACAGAAGCGATTATCGAAAAATGACGTCAAATACACCTGAAAAATGATTCCAATTACGTAATTCAAAATATTATATAATTTAATAACTCGGAAAACAACTTTTTTTTCTTTGACTTATTACTTCCGTGATCTCTATGAGGCTTTTAAAGGTATATTTACTTAATACAGTAAAGAATATGCAGATCTAAGCATGTGTACCTGGATACGCATGGCGAAAACAGCGTAGTAGTCAAGTGAAATCTCACAGTATTATGAGTATTTAATTTCATATCTAAGTAGTAATATATTTAAAGGTATTGTATTTTAATTCATTTTTTTACGTTAAGGAACATGCATCCATTGATTAACTTTCAACTTCTAGTGGGGGTCCGAGATAACCTGGTTGGTAGAGCGTTGGGTTCATGTCCATGAGGTCGCGAGTTCGATGCGTTTGTAGCGGATTAATCAGCATGACAAAATGCTTTGGAGATACGAAAATATGCACATTTTCTAGAAAACTGATCACCCATGTCATAAATCATGGACCCAATTTTATGGGTTTACGACTACTAATATTCAAGTCCGTAGCCTTGTAATTTCGAACCCAATCCAGAAGACAAGGGAACTCCTGGATTGAGTATTGGGAGAAATTTGCCTTCGCAGAGGACTTTCTGATGGAGCTACCCCACATTTGCGCTACATGGAGAGGTAGGCCATGAAAACCTCCCAAGGTTAGCCTGACGCCAAGGGGACTCCAACCCATGATCCCTCTACCACTGAGGATATTTCACGTCAGCACGGTGGTCGGTGCAAGCCGGATACGGNCGGCCGGCGAGGATCGAACCCACGACCTCTTGGATATGGGCACAGCGCCCTACCGACCAGGCTATCCCGGCCTTGGATCGAGTATTGGGAGAAACTTTGCCTTCGCAGAGGACTTTCTGATGGAGCTACCCCACATTTGCGCTACATGGAGAGGAAGGCCATGAGAACCGCCCAAGGTTAGCATGACGCCAAGGAGACTCAAACCCAAGATCCGTCTACCACTGAGGATATTTCACGTCAGCACGGTGGTCGGTGCAAGCCGGATACGGAATTCGCATCGACTGGGTTTCAAACCCGGTTCGCCGCATTGGAAGGCGAACACTCTATCCCCTGAGCCATCGCGGCTCTTATAGCTCTAATTTTATTTTATATTTTATAACCGTTCGTTGAACAGCAGATCCAATTTTCTGGGTTTACGACTACGTATGTTCAACTCCGTAACCTTGTAATTTTGAACCCAACCCACAAGACAAGGAAACTCCTGGATACCCCCAGAGGTATGATTTGTTATAGGAACTTGGAGGACTTTGTGACTCGACAGATTTAACGTGCATCAATCAACATTTACTACACGGAGAGTCTTATGCCGGCTGGGCACAAACCCTCGATCTCTTGGACATGGGCTCAGTGCCCTACCAACCAGGCTATCCGGGCTCCAACTAGGGATATTTTTTTAAGTTACAAAATATTGTTTCATTCTAATTGGAAGTATTAAATGTTATTGCTGTCTTATGCCACTTTTCAATCCTATTTAAAGGCAGAGGTGTGCGCGTCTTGTTTTCCAGTGACGCCATCTATAGCCAAGAATTCGACTTCTGCCATATACTTACGTCTCAGCCCGTTTTACAGGGGGGGGGGCACATTCACACACCATCCATCCGCAAACCGTAATTTTTATCTAAACCAGAGCACGATCTATCCCCGATCCAACACCCCCAGAGGTATTGATTTGTTATGGTTGTAGTTATAGTTGTAGTTAATTTACGTCGCACTAGAGCTGCACAATGGACTATTGGCGACGGTCTGGGAAACATCCCTGAGGATGATCCGAGGATCTGCCATCACAATTTTGATCCTCTGCAGAGGGGGCGGCACCCCCGCTTCGGTAGCCCGACGACCTGCACGCGAAGTCGAGCCCTTTACGGTAGAACAGTTTAACGAGGACCCATACCGCACACCCTCGGTCCCTACGCAGACTAATCCAAGTGGTCACCCACCCGCACACTGACCGCAGCCAGTGATGCTTGACTTCGGTGATCTGCTGGGAACCGTGTCTTAACGATTCAGTCCACTGCGGGACTGATTTGTTATGGAAACTTGGAGGACTTTGTGAGCCCGATAGATTTAGGGTGCACCAATCACGATTTGTACAAGGGGAATCTCCTGTCGGAGGAGATCGAACTCACTAACATGGGGCCAAAGCCCTACCAACCAGGGTATCCCAGTATCAAAACACTTACATAATTAAATTTCAAAATTAAATAATTTATTTAAATAAAACAGAAAAAACCTTACCTCGAGCAGACAGCTTCTTTGTATTGATAATTTTAGCCGCAAACTCTAATCCAGTATTCCTTTGAACACATCTCCTGACTATAGAAAATGCGCCTCTAACATGAAAGAGAGAGAGAGAAGATTATTAAAATCAAACAAACAATAATCAATGCAAACAAAACAATAAGCTTTGCACATGAATCTGGAATCTCAAGAATACTTACTACTCGGTAGGATAAATTTCTTCCCTTTCACTAGCACTTTTTCATCTTTTTTTTCCCCCCGGTGTGTCTTTTGACGTCAAAAACCAGTCGATGAGTGTCAAAAACTGGGGGTAATTTTTTTACTTTGGAGACATTTCATTTGATACTAATTGGTGCAGCCCGTGGCAGAATTGCGGCGACATTGTCGCAGAGTTTTTGCAGAAAGATTTTAGTCCCATTCGCATGATTTTCTCGTTTATCTTTATTTTGAAATTGCTACATGAATTTTACGATTTTTAATTTTATGTACAAGTTTTAATTTACTATCCTTTAATTTATTTATGAATTTTAAATTTTGTAATGATTTACAAAATTAGAAAGGGGAAATAATTAGGGCGTTTTTCTACCTACAAAATGCGAGAAGGTGCCTATAATATTAGAATTAAAAAAAATATTACTTTTACCATAAAAAATTGTATACGTATTTATTCTATACTTTTTTTTGTAAACACAACGTTTCTGTTACTTTAAATTAGTAATTGTTATAATTAAAAGTATGTAAAGGAATAATATATTATTAATGCTAGGAAATAAAAATGAAAATATGACCACCGAAGCCGACGTCTTCAGGGGGTGCATGTTTTTTTTCCTGGACTTCTATATAAAACCATCAGGGTACTGAGGGAGTTAATTTAAGCATTTGCTTCTCCCTCAATTAGAAATGGTTTTGTTTTTATGGCTACCGGGCCGGTACCCCCTGAAGACGTCGGCTTCGGTGGTCATATTTTCATTTCTATTTCCTTCATTTTCTTTTTCTTTATTGCTACTTTTTTCTGAAATTTCTGCTGCCTTTTAGCGCATTTTTTTCGAAGAAGTTTTTTATATTTAGAATTAAAAATATTTGTGTTTTCTTTTAGTATTATTAATGCTAGGGAAGTTTGTCGCAGAAAGCCCGAAAAAATTCTGCCACAGGGTTGGTACACAATACTTGAATTATATATTTCTATAATTACGATGTATATTATGAATCGCATGTAAAAAATGTTGCCAAAATTATTGTTATTGGTTTTTCTAATGGCAATCTTAATACTTTAAAATCCATTATTATAGCTATTCAGTTTTTATTAAAAGTTATAACTGTGAGTTGTTAATCATTATCAATCTTAATATTGATTTTGATTCCTTTATGTTACAATTCAGGCATATTTTTTAGATAAAATTAAGTGTTTTTCAATAATTGTGTAATCTCAACATAAAATTTTTTTTTTATTGATTCTGAATAAAAAAAATTATATGTTTGTTGTTATTGACTGATTGTTGTTACTAACTATAATCAGGGGAGCAGAATATGTCTGGTAGCGCAAACAAGGCTTTGTACGAAGTTCAGGCAGCAATGGTGGAAAAAAAAAATGCTTTTTTTGGTCAAAAAAAATTCCTACGAAACTTTTGGTTAAAAATGTGTCGCTTTGTAAAATTTTTCTTGTTAAAAATACATAGGTCAATTTGTGTATTTATTAGTTTAAATTCCTTAAGTTTATAAGTGGGAACTTAAATTTAATTTACTATATTATTACTATTTCAATTTATTTTGATTTCTATTATTTTATATCAAATACGCTCGTTTATTCAAGAATTGTGTAAAATCAAAGGAATATTTTCTTCTACAAACTTTATTTTCCAAAATGTTATTGTACTGAGAAAAAAAAAGCTAAAATTTTTGAGGAAATTTTGATCCAAAACTTTTGACTTCGGTCATGGGAAATATAAGGCTCTGAGAAATTTCTGCACTCCTGTATATACCTACATGAATATTCCAAATATTACTCAACTAATGTTAATTATATTGATGTATAATTAATTCACTAATTAATGAAATAATTATAATTTATAAAAAATATAAATGTTTGTTTAAATGAGTTAATAATTTTTCAATCAATCAATTCAAGGATTTAATTGAATAACTTTACTATTAATATTTAGTACAGTTATTAGAATAAATTTCCTAGTTACATGTAATTTCATTATGTCATAATAATTTAAGATTTCTAGAATATGCAGATCAGCATCAATAAAAAAAAAACAGTTCATAGAAAACTAAAAAAATGAACGTGGAGCACAGAATGTTTCATTTGCTTTTTATTAATTGTATATTTTAGGTAAAAAAGGAGTTAAAATGGGAGTAAATGAAAATTGATTTCATATATCAGGGCTGTCCAGCTGGCGGCCCCCCCCCCCAACACATATTGTGCAGCCTGCCAACTTCTTACTCAGGCTGATCGGCCTCAGTTTTCCCATTAAAAAATGTAAGCAAATTGTTTTCTAATCCTTCTGTTCCATTGTTTTATAATTCATAATTCAACTATTAATTGTTATTGTATAAGAGGTAAGAGATTATTGTTCAACTTTTTCAAACTGCAGCCCGCCAGGCGATCAGTCACCAGAATTTTGGCCCGTGGGCTCTTTGCAGTTGGGCAGCCCTGTCATAGATAATGGATAAGATGATTTTTAAGTGATCTTTTATTAAGTTGATTGTTTTAGTATTTTTATTTTCAATAATTTGAGAAGTTAACAGATTGGATAAATCTCAGTTTTACACATTTTTATTTATAATTATTTAATATTTTCTACACCAAGCTTTGTTTTTTTTTACAGTAATAGTCAAAACATAAAGAGAGTTTAATATCAAAATAATTCAAGAATATAATTCATCGATCACTTGTAATTTCATATCTATGTTTATTTCTGCTTATTTATAATAGCTAATAATTATCCTCGCACTAAAATTTAGGGTTTTTGATGCTTGTCAAAAAAGGTTTTATGACAGGACGGATAAAACCATGGTTAAACTCGGATAAAACCGTGAATTGTCAAAAATTTGCCAACCCTGGTTAATATAAGCTGCATTCACTATAAAACTTATTGTAACTATGAAAAGTAAATGTGACACAGTTATGTTGCAAAATGAGGTGAAACTAAGTGATTTTAGTGATAATTAAAATTCAATATAACAGCAATATTCAAAATAGTTTACTCCTAAATTTGATTTATATCAATGATGTTAATATTCTTATTTTTAAAAAATTGTAGTTATTACGTCACACTAAATTAAATAACATATAAATATACAAAAGAATTATACTTTCACCTTAATTATTTTGAAAGGGGAAAAAACATCATTTTTCTTCTTTTTTTGGAAGGGGTAAAAAAAATAATACAAAATTTTCATTAATTTAATCTTTACTTATTTATTAACATTAGTCTGAATTTCTAATTATTATATTTCAATTTTTTCTCAACTGAAGAAAAAAAATAAATATCCAGCAGCGAAATAGCGAAATTTTAAATTATTACTTTCTACTTAAATAAATAATCAACATTTAATGACAATTTCTCAGAAAAGATTTATCAGTAAAGAGCTAAATTAAAGGAAGATACAAAAAAATTGCAGTAGTTTGGTATCAGTCAATAAAATCATAATAAAAAAAAGGTAAACCTATCAAAGTTACAATGCTTAAAAATCAACAGGTATAAGAGTTAAAAACTTCAACTTTAAAAAACTGGAAATGATTATTCTTAATTCTTTTCTCAAGAAATTAAATTGAAGAATAATATTACTAAAATAACAGTAGATCTTCAGCTTAAATAAATTTTATATCAAATTCAATAGGAGTTAAACAATTTTTACAGAGAACTAAAAAATAACAATTAGAAATTTTTTATACTAACAAATGATGAAATAAGTAGAACATTTTTGAATTTATCAAATATACATCTAATAGTTTTGTTTGAAATTATCACTGGTCGAAGTTTCGACAGAGAAGAAATTTCCTGTATTTATATAATTACTGTAATAGATTGAAGTTTTATGTAAATTTCCAAAAAATTTATATTAATGTTAATAATTTAGAATTAAATTAAAATCTTTATGAATAGACACTGATTTTTTAATAAAGAAAGCATTATGTTTGTATTTAAAATAAATGTTTCATCAATATAAAACTTTAATGAATCAGTTTTTCATTTAGTCATAGCTTAACTTTATCGCTCAGTTTTAATCCTCAAATTTACTGGTATTAAATTATTGATTTTCAATTTGTGTCATATGTGTTAATATATATGTTTGATGAGATATTATGCTGTGATTAATATTGCACTTCATATTATGGTTTACAAACTTATAACCTTTAATTAATATTACAATAAGGTATTATTACAAGAATATTCTAAATGAAAAATAAAATACAAAAATGTCTGCATAAATTTTTAAAAAAATTAACATGACGGATCTATTTTATAATATAAACAGCTGAAAAATAAACCAATCCATCCTTTCCTGTATTTGTCTATTTATTTTATATAAATATAAAACATCTAACAAATCTATGACTTAAAAAAAAAAAAAAATCGAAATAAAAATTAAAAAAAGATTAAGTTTCGTCTACAATAACAGGTTTCACTTCTCTCACAAAAAAAAAAATAATAATAATTAAACAGTAATCAATCGAATTACAACAAATATTGCTAAGGCAATTGCAAAACAAATTAAACGCTCTTTAGTTATTAAATTGTGCATTAATAACAATGCTCATAAAAGTTCAAAAGTATGCCGACGAAAGCAAGCAATAAAATAACTAAAATTTATATAAACAATGATTATGCAAATGAATTAGTGGAATAGAGGAAGTAGTTTCAGAATAAAATTCAACAAGATACAAAAATTCTAACAAAACAAAGTGTTCAACAGCAAAAATAATAAAATATAAGAACAAAACAAACGTAAATCGTGTTCATTTTTATTTAATACTTCCATCATATAAAAACAATTAATCAAATCGGCATAAAACATCGAGAAACAAAATAATCTTTCCTTTTAAAACAAACTCAGATTTAAACCAGTCTTCTCAAAATCAAAAAACACGTTTCTAAAAAATCTCTATTTACAATATCACTTTAATAAAAAAATAAATAAAAAAAACTACGTGTCCTAAGTTAATGCAGGGGAGGGAAGCGGTAGGGGGTGTCCTACTTGCATAGAAAACGTTACCAGCCACATCAAAAAACTGATCTGCTAAAGTGCATCTCACGTAATTTTACAACGTGCACAGATGATGTTCATAAAAAAGTTATGAATTTAATAAATGCACTTACTTCCCCAGTTCTTCTTTCAGTTCGTAGTTATCACTAAACCGAGTACACACCGTTACGGCCATATTGTTTTGGCTGGCTGAGAGGCGCGGGTTACTCTGTGCAACGAGCAGCTAAGGTTTCTTGCATTACCTAGAATATCGCCAATTCGAGTCGCATGCGCATATCTCGCATGGATTCTTTCCTGTTGGATAGGTTTCACAGCATGACAAATCCGCCAAGATGGATTTTTCCCTATTGAAGGTGTAAGAAATTCCCCGCGCAGAGAAATTTTCCCTCCGCATCATTTTTCAGGGAGATCGAAAAAGTTCTGTTTTTGACGCTTGGGAGTGAGCGGTTTTCTGAAAGGTAATTGACTCCTAGCTAAAACAATTTCTTTCGTTAAAAAAGAAAACTTTACTCTTTTCTCATTCATTCGAGGATTTATTTAAGATTTGTGAATTTAGATTTTTTTAACAACAAGTATTTATTTTAATATTAATGCCTTGTGTTTCGAACATTTCATTTCAAATAAAATGTTTGTTTTTTTCTACTCGCAAGAATTCAGGATATTGGAATTCATTACTTTAAAAGTTTTAAGTTTGTCTCTACTTAAAAAAAAAAAACCCTTTTTCCCTGAGACAGATTAATATTTCACAGGCAGTGTTGCCAGATTGGGCTACTTTTAAATATCATATTATTTGAAAACATTTTTATTTATTGATTATTATTACTTATAAATATTATTTAATAGAATATTATTTGCAAATGAAATTTAGGCTACGTACTACTTTTTGGGCTAATCAAAATTTTTCTACTGCTACGAATCTTAGAATGCTCTACTTTTTTTTTATATATCGAAAATAGAATTTTTTTTTTTTTAATATATAATATTTAAAAAAAAAATTTAAAAAAGTAAATCTGGAGAGAAATTGGGCAGGGACCACCTGCTTCTATGTGGGGCCCTTCATGGACACACTGAGTCCTCAAGATATTGGGAAGCAAGAGAACTTTTAAGGCAATTACTTCGGTCTTCTTTCTTTGTTATCCTTCATACATTTGTATTCGTTATTTATTTTATCTTTCTATTTGTACCTTTTTGCCTTGCCATTGGAAATAAAATAAAAAATTTATAAATATTTTATAAATTATTATCTGAAATATCTTTATACTGAATATTAATGTTTATAAACAGTTATACTCATATTTATAAAAGGAAACCTATATAAAAGATTATAAACTCTGGTTTTCACCGAGGTGGAATTCAATCACTTATCAATTATGCTTTTCAATTCATTAATGAAATTTAATAGTTTTTTTT